TTTCACTTATTTGCAGATAGCAAAAATGAGTATACAAAGCTCCATTGTTTCTGAGTATACACGCATGGCACTGGTAGGGACTGAGAAAACAAAGGGAACCCCAGAGCCGAGCAAGACAAAGAAGGTATTTATCAATGACTTGAAGATACGCAATAAAATGATCAGATCTATGTACATAGCTGTGTTGATCTTTTTTTCCAGATTTGTCATCAAGCATTTCAATTGAGATGTCATTTTGACCTCATAACTTCCCATTGATAAGTTTTATGTTTGAACTGACTTGATTTTCCGAGACGGTAAGAAGTCATTGATTTCGCTCTCTTTCATTTTCCCCTTGTAAAAGGAGAAAAAAACTAGTTTTGAATGGACCATAAGGCCCGTTTGGCACTTGGTTCTTTTGCTAAAAAAGAAAAGAATAGAAGTTGGAATGGTAAACGGTTTACATGTCCTCGCATTGCCACCTGAACCATCCGACTTACAACCACCCAAATGCAAATGATGGCTGTGCAGGACCGTGTAAGCGATCAACAGAAAAAGGAAGACCCCAAATCACAAAAGAGAATAGAGCTCCATAATCTCGGGCTTGGTTTCGGCAACCCCACGGCGACCGCCGAAAACACCCCTCCAGGAGCTATGGAGACAAAACCAGATGCAGCTGAGGTCTTTGTCAAGGCGGCATCAAACTGTTGTGGAATGATGTGCCAGAAGCTGTGCTGCATGTGTTGCATCCAAACATGTTCTAAGATGAATGACCAGTGTGCAGTTGCGTTGACACAGTTGCTCGGTTCTCTGGCTTGCTTTGGTTGCTGCTACTGCTGCGAACTCTGCTGCTCCGGAGATGACGGATAAGAAGAAGAAGAAGAAGAAGAAGAAGAGTGCCATTTATGGATGCTGTGTTGTATATCAGAGCTGAGTTTGTGTGACAAATAATTTGTATTCTTGTCAATATTTGCCAAAATTTGGGATGTGTACAGTGCACTGGAATGTGCATCAATTTGATATTTATTCATCAAAAGAAGCGCTGATTTAAATTAAAAAAAGAAGCGGTTAGAAGTAATATACTCCCATTTAATGAGTTTCTCTTAGTATATGGTTGCTTACTTGTTTTCTTGGGTGATTGTTTTGTGTTACTGAAATACTGTACTATTTAATCTCATTGTATACTACAATGTTGTTACTTTGAAGAAATTCATTGTGTTGTTGCTTGTATAGAAGATGATCTTTGTATTTTACTCTCTCGTCCTCATAGATGGGTCGGGTTTGGGGTTTGGACTTGGGTCCGACCCAAATCTATGGTTGTTTTGTTGGATCTTTGTATTTTATGGCGTTTTTAATTAATGTTAGTTTTTTGGATAGTTTTTTATAGTGCATATTAAAGTAGAACATTGTCACTAGATAGTCTTTTTAAAACATTAAAACTAAATGAAGAAATTATTGCCAAAAAGAAGTACTCACTCCGTTCTCAAAAACACTTCCTCTTTCATTTTTTTCACTTCTAACAAAACACTTCCACTTTCTATTAAAAAACCACTTTTACCCTTACTTTTTCATACCCTACCTATCATATCACACTTTATCTCTAATAATCTATCCATCACATCTTACTTTTATCTATCACATTAAGGGCAAAATTGAAAGTTAACTACAATTTAATACGGAGTACTTCCTTATTTTACACAAAGTCAAAAGAAAAACACTTTTTTCAAACGGAGTGAGTATATGTGTGTGTGTAACTGTGCCTCAAAAAATGACACAAAGAGTCGAGATTAATCATGTTTACCATTTTATTGTGCAAAAAGTGATTTAAATAAGGTAACAAGAATAAATAAGCCACTGCATAATTAAATTGAAAAAAGAACATAATCAAAGGAATAAAATAAATAAATTTTGGATAAAAGAGAATTTGATAGAATTTAAGGTGAGGTAAAGTCACTAAATTGAATTTAAGACACTTGAGCTGAATCACATTAAAAGATTGAGTTCAATCGATTACTCAGTTCAACTCAAGAGCTTATATTCTGATTATTTCTTTCTCATTTTTCCGATGTAGGATACACTCTAATACTCCCCCTCAAGTGGCAACGGGGTCATTTCAAATGTAACAGGTTGACCACTTGTAAGTAGATTCTCATCCCCTATTTTTTTAGCGCCAACATCTAAAGGACCACGGACCGTTGATTATGGACTTCTAGACGAGCAATTGAGTTAAACAGGCCATAGGTCGTTGGGTATATATTCCACACGGAAAACTGGGCTAAACATTAACGCCGCTGATGGGTGTATTTCACCCAAGACTGGTCAAAGGAGAAGGCCAAATCTTTGACCGGTCAATCTCGAAAGTTTTGGAAGGGAGACTTAAATCGTCAGCAAAACGATATGTCATCGGCCAAAATTTGACCGGTACACTTCACAAAAAAGTATACCGGTCAAACTACGTTATCATCCTATTTATTCCAGACTTCGATGAATTCACCTCTCGGAGATTACCCGGTGTAGTTTCTGAGGTTGGAAAGTGTCGGCAGAGGAGAATCTACGAGGGCTTGGCGTGTAGCGACCCGTGTCAGTAGAGGACGACGGGAGATGCTGAAGAATCCATCCAAGGCACTACCTGACAAAGGGAATAATCCCCCTCACAAGGCGACAAGGTAGCTAAGAGACGAGGCCTAGTATAAATACTCATGTAAACTTCAGAAAGAGGGATCCGAATTCATTCTCTCTAAACTCCCTTGTAAAAGCACCCGTGCATATTCCGTTATAATATAAATCGGGCTACAGGTGTTCCATCTAAAGTCCTACCGGTCAATCTGCGTGTTTTTACCTTTCTTACTTTGCCAAATCGAACAAACTATTCTAGACCCGGTCTAGCATAGTGTGACCGGTCAAGTAATTTACACCATCAGCCGCTAAAAATGAATGTATAGACGAACACCTAGAGAGACGAGGTGGGCTAAAACTCGCTTTGATACCATGTACAAATATTATTATTACCAAATCTTTGGGAAAACATAAAACCAGTTTGCTCTAGCATCCCCCGTCGCCAGTGCGTTGTCCGGTGATGACGGCGTCACCGTTTGTTTGTTACTTTTAGTCTATGTTTGGATAGTTTTTTTTTCCTCGGCCTTTTAGTTCCCTTCCATTTGTTTCATCCATCCAAATTCGTCAAACACAAATAAACCTCTACCGTCACAAAAATCAGCTATCGTCGAGCAACCGTTTGTCAGCCGCTGGTATCACCGTTCTTCGACAACTAGATCGACATTGTTCTAGTTCCGCCGCTAATTCAATTGAAAAATTTGGCAATTGAAGCTGTTAGTTTGGGGAGAGAGAGCGTCGTGATGATATGGGCATCACCATCCAAGCCTTTATAAAGGGTGAGGTGGCTCCAGGTGACCATCACGACGCACCACGACCACCCACACCCCATGGTCTAAGCGTTTTTTCCTTTTGGTTGAATTAATTCGGGATTTGGGATTTGGGAGGCTTGTCCAAGGCCTAACACTCCCTCTGTCACAAATAAATTTCTTTCTTTTATAAAATGGTCTTGACTTTTTCAGTAAGAAAAAAATGTGACTAAAAAACTTTTTTTTTCTTCACACTGAATTTATGATCACTCATTTTTCATCTTTTAATATTTTTCTTAAATTTTGTAAAATTAAATTTTAAATTTTATTTTGAGAAGAGAGTATTTATTAAGAGAGTTGTAAGTTCATGCTAGGTGTACAATACTTGGTGTACACCGATACCGGTACACTAGCGCAGAAGCCAATCCACATTAGTCATGGTAACTTTTTTGTTTAAATAATCCTTACAACATTTGTTATTATTTTTATGAAGTTCTCAACCTAATGACGCACAAAGAATCAATTTTTTGCCTCTACAGGACTTAAACTCAAACAAACTTTCTATAAATCTTGAAGAATTGTTTTTTACCACTCAAGTATGGGACAAGTTCTAAACTTCCTACTACACCCTCCGCCTGTAAATATTCTTCACGTGTTGACTTGACACGCTTATTAAGGAATAGTAAAAAAATGCAAAATTTTCAAAAATGCACATACTATAAACTTTTAAATCTCCTTTTATTATTAAAAAAGTAGTAAAAAGTAGATTTGTGATAAAATAGAAGGATATTATTGATATTTATCCTTAAAAAGTATACTAAAAAAGGAAATGAGAAGAATATTTCTGGACGGACCAAAAAGGAAAGTGGGAAGAATATTTTCGGACGGAGAAAATATGTTGGTACTTGGGTACATATATAATTAACATTTAATTTGTCTCTCCTACACATATGACATGTCATTGTTATCATGTATCTACCAATAATTATCATCAAAATTAACAACCCTCCAAAAATTAGCACTTTATGTCATTGTATGAGATCATATGACTCTGTATATGAATATTTCATAATATTTTTTGATATTATATATTAACATTGTATATTTTTTTTAAATTTTATCTTGGAAATAAAAAAAATGAAATTCCAATTCAAATATTTATTTTCTATATTTTAATCCTATTTTTATTTTTTTTTTCTCTTTTTTCCTTTGTGCAAAACGAGAACATCACGTCCATGTCCAGATCTACTCCCTTAACGAACAGTACTTTTTGTAATGGTCGTGCAATAACGTACAGTTCCCGCTGCCGGAATTGCGAGGAACACGTTTTTTTTCCCCTCAAATGCGTGCGTTCATATGCCCAATGTATACTCCCTCGGTCCGCTTAAGATGTTCTCATTTTGACTTTTGGTGGTTTTTAAGGAGAGTTGAAAAAGGTGAAAGTTTACCATAATACCCTTAATGAAAAATGGGTGGAGTGTATTAAATGAGGTGGGTGGGGTGTAATAAATAAAGTAAGTGGGGGTAGTTATGGTATTTTACTTGTTAAAAAATGAAATGAGAAGATCTATTGTGAACAAAGAAAAAAGGCTATTGAGAAGATTTATGGTGGACAGAGGTAGTATATAAATAAATAAAGAGGAAAAAGAAAAAACAGTACTCCACAGATTAAATTCAGCAAGTGGGCAAAGAATCGACGCACGCCGCCATATCTTCTTCCTCGTGCTTCTATTGTTCAGTCATGCCGTTCGCCTGTTGTTGAGATTCCAACAGAAGATATGGGTTCGCCGGATTCCGGCAGATTCTCCGGCCAGAGGTCCAATTTCTCACACACTTGTGCCCTCTTCAGCCAATACCTCAAGCAAAACGGCTCTTTCGCCGCCGCCGCCGCCGCCGCAGATCTCACGCTGGGTATTTCACTTTTTTAAAAAAATTCATTTCCCCTGAAACCCAAACCTCCATAAACCCCTCTCAAAGATCCCAACTTTTTAGGTGTAATTTGTGTATTTCCACTTCAATTTCATTTCAGTTGATTAATAGGATGCTTGAATCTGTGTTATTTTTTATGTGTTTGTGGAACAGGAACGCCCGCAACGATGAATCTGATTCCAATGATTGAGAAATCCGCCCCAAATTCGAATCTCGTCCCCTTGAACTTGTTCCCTGCCGAAAAGATCGACCCGAGGTTTGTTTCTGCTTGCTAAGTATGAGTATTCTTTTGCTGGAGATATTGTTATATCTTTCCATATTATATTATAAGTTTCCATATTATGTTTATTACCATATTATGTATTCCTACTTTAGTTAGGAATCTCATGTATATATGCTTATGGAAGTCTCATTATTAGGAAAGACCCATTATTATCAAATTGTGTCGTTTATTAACATTAACAAAGCAATGTGTTTAAAATGTTGTTTGGGCATGTAATGTGAACTTTTGGATGATTACCGACATGTGAGAATATGAGTCACCCACAAAATTTGTTTTTGGGAAGACTATTAGGTACTATATTGTACTATTATGAAATGCTTGGGAAAATCAATTTGTATCTAACTAAGATAATGTGAACCAAACATGTGGAATGTTGGCATGTCTTTACGGCCAACCAAACGTGCCCTTACGTGTTCCCGAGCTTATTTGAAACTGCATCAGGTTAATCATAGTTTTGTTGTGTGTGCGAGACAGTGTGGGAGAGGCACATGGAGAAAGGGTTGTTAAAGAAATGACAATACTCTATGATGGTCAAGTGATGGTGTTCAAAGATTTTCCAGCTGAGAAAGCTAAGGAAATTATTGCTTTGGCTATGAACACCCAAACCCCAAACATCTCACCTTGTACTGATGATGCCGGTCCTGTTTCTGGTTTCCAAAACCAGACACCTTATTCTCGTAAGTTTCTTTGAAAAGAAAAGGTTCATTTTTTTTATGAATGAATGAAAGATTTCAGAAATTTTGGCCTTTCTTATGGGGGAAAATTCTTAGTGGTAAATCTTGTTGTTTTGCTGCTGCAGATTTGCCCATTGCTAGGAGGACTTCCCTTGCCAGGTTCTTGGAGAAGAGAAAGAACAGGCAAGCCTTATTTTTCAATTCAAAGTGTGAAAGTTACTTTTTTTCTTGTAATTACCAAACAAAACTAAACCCTATGTCCCTGTTTGGCACACCATTGTTAGCAGTTAGTTGTATGAGGCGAAATTGTTTGGTAATATGCGTTAGTTGTTTGAGAATTTAAAGGTAAAAATGTCTTCGAAAAAGTTGTTCACCGAACACTTTTAGGAACTGTATGAGAAATCATTTACTTCAAAAAACACTATTACCAAAAAATTGTGTGCCAAACTCTCCCATTGTTTCCGAGAGGACCCCGACAACCAGACACACACATCCCTTGAAATCCGAAATTATTTAAAATTGTGTTTTTAGATTTCATCAGATTTGTGTTTTGATGTTGGAAATGTGATGGAATTCACAGGATTAGTTCCAAAGCACCATACCAGAAAGACAACTCTGTGGGAACTTATTCAAAGCAAGAAGAGAACAAGGCATGGCTGGGGCTGGCTGCCCAGTTTCCACTCAAAAACTGAAGCTTTGCTCTGGTGTTTTTTTTTTGTTTCATCATTGATGCCAATGTCCTAAGAGCTAAGATTTTGAATATTTAGGGCATTTCAATTGTTTAATGACACTATCATTTTTTTATACATGAAAAATGTTATGGTGTTTAGTTATGATCATTTAATTGTCCAAAATTAGAATGTTTAACCAATTCACAGCCCTAAGAGCACCTCCATTAATAATTTGGATGAATGGATGGAGAGAGATGACAAAAAGTTTAAACCTTTAAATATCATTCACATTGGTACTTATTCTGTATATTGTATCTAAAGCTTTGAATTAAACACAAAATATATCTTTATTGAAGCTGTTTAAGTAGTTCAAAATTTTGAATCTGATGTAATTTGGGCAACCGATTTAGGCAATGTTCATAAATTAAACAAAGTCTAGCAATTTATAATCCCCTTGGTTCCCATGACATTGGTTCCCGACATTGGTGGGAACCAATGTCATGGGATGACCCGGAGGCGCTCCGGTGCTCCGTTCGTAAAATTGATGGTTTCTACCCCTCTTAACCTCCCGGTAAACCCTCCCACCCCGCCCCGACCCGAACACATCCCCCCACCCCCTTCAATTGCACCCCACAAGTTGATTTTGACTTTGAAGTCAAATTTTGACTCCAAATTATAAATGTTCATGAATTAAACAATGTCCAACCACAAGTGTTCATTTGAATTAACGTAGTATTCATTCTAATATAACACAGTACTCATTTTGAAATAAATAGTGTTCAATTTCACAAATTTGTACATTCTAAAACAAAGTAGTGCTCATTCTCAAATAACGTACTGCTCATTCTCTTGTAACTTACCGTTCATTCCCTTCAGATTTGGAAAATATATTTCAACTAGTATCAACCCCGTGCTTCGCACGTGCTCATATATATTCTAAGTTTTAACATATAAAAAATGAAATAATGTTTATTTTAAATTCTTTAATAATGATATGTGTGTGTGTGTGTGTATGTATGTATGTATGTCTATATATATATATATATATATATATATATATATATATATAATCTATTTGATTAATATTATCTAAGTTTAAAATACTTCATATCTCTTATGAGTGAAGAGTATGAATTTTAATATAATATTCATGTACATGTATTAACATTTATATAAATCTTTATTTTGAGATGTAATAAAAACGAAAATGATGAATGGTTTATTAAAAATCACATAACTCTTTATTTTTTAAAGGATTAATAAAGTTTATAAAATATTTTTTTAGATAAAAACTAATTATGCACAAAATATATTTTTAAATGGTGTAACACATAAACTCTAAAATGAATAAAACATTGAATAAAATATATTAAGATTTTTAATCTATATACTCCATCTATTTCAAAAAGATTTTCATAGTTTGATTTTTTTTAGTAAAATTATGTGACACTTTGATTAGAAATTAAATATAATTTTCAATAATTAAATGCATGTCATAAAAATTTGATATATGAAAACAATATTTTAAATGGACACATATTTTTCTAAATTTATAATATAACTAAATATAATAAACTTTTTACACACTTTGTGATCAAAGTATAGAGCAACTTTACCAAAAATACCAAACTGTGATAACTTTTTTGGGAGGAAGAGGTAACATATTTCGAAAGGGTTATCAAATGAAACAATAATGAGATTTGATTTAACCAAAGAAAAATAAAATAAAAATGCCAAAGAAATCAACCAAGTAATGAAAATTGCATAAGTGGTATATGACCTATATGTCATGTGTTATCCTTCAACAAAAACAAATTTATTTAATTTAATTTGTTGAAATTAATAATATATTAGAAATTAAATAATGTCACATATAAAACATTTTGAAATAAAATATATATTTATGGCTGATATTAATTCTCTTTCTTTTACACAAACAACAACCACCAACATTTCAATTTATTAAAAATTAAGCAAAGTCAAACTCGTATGAAAATTCTACGACGGAGGGAGTATATGACATGCAACATGTATTATCTTTCAACTCTAACTTTGCTTTGTTTAGTTAGCTGAAAAAATATACATTGTATACTAAAATATACGGAGTACTTCTTAGTATGTAATAGGTTAAAAATTTTGAAATAAGTCTTGCATTTAATAAATATTTATATGTGATAAAAAATTATAATACTATTTTGAAAATTGTTTGAGTTGATAAAAATTAAAATAAAAATGCCAAATAGATCAATTAAGTATTAACACATCATTAGAGAATATATATCTATCATGTGCTAAATGAAATTCTTTAATTAAACTTTCACTTTGTTTAGTTAGCTGAATGAATATATAATAAGTTGCATGTGTGAAAATATTTATATATAATAGTTCTTTTGAGATGATGGATAATTTTAAAAATTATAAGCAACAATTTTTTGATGTATAAATCTTATATAAATTTTTTCAAAATAAAAAATAGTCGTGCACATTTAAAAATATGTTAAAACAATGACAAATATTTCTAAAATAATTAGATAGTGAAAATTTTATAAAAAGTTTATACAAGAATGGTTATTTATTGTTGGAAAGAGAAGGATTCATAAAAGAATTAAAATTGATATATTTGGCGGACACATGCTAAGCTAGGGGTATGCACGCGTGGCTGCCACGTGTATTAATATTTGCCACATCACATGACACGTGTCAACACTACAACTCTTGAACTCTCTTTTACATATATACTAGTATTCCTACCCGTGCCGCGCATGGGTTCGGACGATTTTTTTTTACTCAGATAATTTTTTATCTTATTTGTTGATAAACCATAAATTTTTGGTAATTGAAATGCATGCATATATAAATTGAAAAGAGCATATAAATGTATAAATAAAATCTATATCTTTTGAAATACTTCAGGGTAAACTACATTTTTGGTGAAATTGCAAGGGTTACCGCTATCGTTTAAAACTAACACTTTCAATCCTGCCTTTGCTTTCACTCGTGAAACTGCAACATAAAGTTGACCGTGAGTAAATACTGACTTGCTCAAAAATAATCCAACAAATGACAATGTTTGCCCTTGACTCTTATTGATAGTCATGGCAAAACATAAAGATATTGGAAATTGTCTTCTTTGAAACTTAAACGGTAATCCAGGATCAGATGGTACCAAATTCATTCTTGGTATGTAAACTTTCTCCCCGGCATTGTTTCCAGATACAACAATTGCACCGATAACATTTCTCCGCAACTCTTCAACGATTAACCTTGTACCATTACACAACCCTGATGTTTGATCAATGTTTCTCAATAACATGATCGGTACTCCTTTCTTCAAAACTATTTTGTGATTTGGAATTCCAGAACATTTGATATCGTTCAAAAACTCAGTCGTTATCCAATCACCATCTATGCCGACATCTGAATCTGCTTGACATGAAGAATCTGAACTCAAATATTCTTTTTCATCACCAGGAATAAGAGACAAAACAAATTCATTGATCATTTCAACAATTTCAAGTTTGGGTGCTAATAACGCTCTATCCATAAAGAAAGTATAATCTTTCATATTTTCCAATAAATCTGGATATGTGAATTCCACTATAGTCTTAAGCGGAGTGCTCGAGTTAAGAATCAAGGACTCTAGTGGTATTTCAATATCACCAATACCATTATTAACCACGCCAAGCTGGCCATCTCCAATTTTAATTATCCAGTCCAAAAAAGTTTTTGTGTCATTATCTTCATAGGTGGATGCAGATAAATGCAACCTCATATTCCTTGTTAACGTGAAGACCTTACAAAATGACCACAAACTCGAGGAATTAATTGTAGCATCTACAATATCCTCTCTTGAAGCTCTTGGCAAAACTGGTAGGATTTGACGGAAGTCACCACCAAGCACAACTGTTTTTCCCCCAAACGGTTCATTTGCAGCGTTTTTATTAGAAAACTGCATAATATCTCTCAACGTGCGATCTAATGCCTCAACAGCAAATTTATTCATCATACATGCTTCATCCCATACTATTAGACTCGCTTGTTGGATTAATTCTACTTTGGGGCTTCCTTGTTTGATGGCGCACGTTGATTATTCAGTTAGTGCCAAAGGGATCGAGACTCTTGAATGTGCTGTCCTACCACCAGGTAATAACAATGCTGCAATTCCACTGGACGCAACATTTAAAACAATCTTGCCTTTCGATCTAAGCGTAGCAGACAATGATTTCCAAAGGAATGTTTTTCCAGTTCCTCCATAACCATACACAAAATAGAAACCTCCTCTACCATCTGTGACAACTTACATTATCTCATTGTATATTTTCCTTTGATCATCATTCATCGTTGATAAATATTTCTTGAGATCAATTGACAACTTTTCTCTGTCATAGTTTAGCTCTTCGACTAAGAAATTATTCTGGAATCGATTAAGTGGGTCGTCAATCGGAAATGGCATGCCACTGAACTCCTTTAAAGATCGTCCATTTGAATTAAGTAATTTCTCAATCTCAATCAAGCATAAATTTTGGAGATTATCAGGCAAGATGGTAAGTTCTGCAAAACAAATGTTCATTAAAATATTTCTATATAATTTTTTTGAATCAAAATATTTAAAACTACACATATTAACCAAACAAAAAAATATAATAATGTAGCACATTAAAAGATTACATTGTAAAACAGAATAATAAAATTTTCCTAATACTCCATTACTTTTGCTTAAAAAATTAGAGCAATGCAGCTTTTTTATAAGATAAATTCCTAAATAGACAATCATGTAGTAGAGTAATTCATAAATCGTCTACAAAAAAGACAACTTTAATTAAATTTAGGAATTTTTAGCTCTTAAAAAATGTGGTTAGTTTTGATGGTGTTTTTGCAATAATGAACATGTTACAGTAGATGAAGTCCATGTTTACTAACACCTGCAACAATATTTTGTTTTATCAAATGGTTTTTTCAAAAAATCACATTTTTACTATCACATACTTCAATTATAGTTCTAACTAATAATAACAATGAGTTAACCTAACAAATTAATTACCTGGATTGCGCAATAATCTTCTTCGATCATATAAAATCCCATCAGCCAATAGTTCCCATGTTTTCTCCAACACAACACACGGACGACTCATGGCATTCGTCACCAACAATGTGACGAACAACTTTCTTAACTGATTTCCAAAACCAAGCTCGGCAGCCTCTTTTATACCTTCAATGAATTCTTTATCGTCAATTAATAATCCCAA